AGCCCAAATGATTCTATGATTCTATGCTTGTGTAAAGAAAAAACAATGATTGAATATGTTCATATATATAACAATATATGAATATGTATGTACAAACATGCACATGCATACACACTGCTGTGATTGCTGACTGCCTTGTTATCCTCAGATGAGGAAAGTATTTTGGAAAAAAAAAAAAAACACTATCAAAATGCTATGGGTTAGATCATCTTGAATTTTTTCAGGCAGGAAATGTACTGTGGACAACGCACAGAGAATTGCCCTCAGACTGTGGCAGGATCAGGGTATCATTGTATTTGTGAAGAAGTTTCTTTGGAAGAAGATGTGTGGTCTTCTGGAGTGAACTATGGAATTAGAAACAAAGATGTGAACCCCAGTCCTAGTAAATTTACTGTGTGTCCGTTTTTACCACTGTATTTTCTGGGTGGTGAAATTTACAGAGGTAATTTGTAGGGTGCCTTGAAGAATTTCAGAACTATTCAGAATAATGGTAAGCAATATCATCATCATCTGTTATTTCTAAACTAGAGCATGGTTTTATTCAGAGAGGCGGATGCCAGCATATCTGCCACAGCCATTTACAACCATGGGATATCACTAGGAGGCAGGAAGAACTCTCCTCCCAGTCAAAAGGGTGGAGGTGGCACATCCAGTAACATGCATTTTGACTTGCTGAATGCTAAGATTAACATGCCTAAATGTTGGATGGCAACTTATACGCAATAACAAAAAATACTTTTATATGAAAGGATAGGTCAGGGCATTAATTCTTGCTTCTTATTGTGTAAATATTAGAAAAGCTCGGTTTAGCATTCCTGTTCTTGCTGTCATAGATTATGGGCAAAACTGAAGAATTCACTCATCCAAAGTTGTTACTTCCCTAAGTTCCTACAGTTCACATTATATCTGATGAAATATTTTGAAGTGAAATTTAAAATTCTGATGGCGTGACAACACACATTTAATAATTTAAAAGACATTCCCAAGCTGGGGGATGTTTGCTCAAATTAGATCAGCAAAATCTATATCATGCTAAACAGCCAGAAGAGCAATGCTCACTTAGTTGAGGGTGGGAGGTAGACCGTAATTCTCTTCCAGTTTTGGAATCTTTCTGAAGTGTAGGTGGAGCTCTCAGTGTAGTGCTGACAGCCGATGGTTGGAGGGACGCACTCCTCTGTCACCAGGTGCCAGTCTCTCCCGTTGTTTAGAGAATACTGCAGGTGAATGCTGTGGGAATTGCTGTATGGCTTGCTGCAACCCATGCTCAGCTCAAACTGCAAGAAAGTCGAGGCTGATACGTGGAAGTCCCAAGTCTCGGCATAACGAGGTTTTCCTAAGAAAAGAGAGAAAAACGACGAAAAAAAAAATATACCTTATGCATATACTTTCAGTACTGTCATTCAAATTTGTTATCTGTATTTTCACCTTTTTTCAGTCTTCTCTTCCCTGTAGATTACTATATATCTGAATAGGTCTATACCTCCCATCTTGTAAAAACTCAATACATAAATAATTTATAAAATAGACTCATACAAATGTAGCAAGATTTGGTGACACATACCAATGTTTTCACTGAACATCAGAGCTGTATCCATAGACAGGCAGTCGATGTCTACTTGACCTCCTTGTATTCTGTACCAGCCTGCTTGTAAATCCACAGTTCCATCAAATTTATCCTGGAAGCCAGTCTGAGAGCTGTCATTCATCCCTATCAGGACATCGTCCAAAGCCCACTGAGCTGAATGCTTCCCTATAAAAAGCAGAACGGGCAGGTTAGTGGAGTTCCTGTAAGTTATTTTTTATGCCCACATCCTGTGTTCACCCAGTGAGCAGTGCTCAGTCACATACACTGAGCACTGTTGAACAAGACTAAAACATTGCTCAAGGATGAACCCGGACTCCAGAGTATGTTTCTATTTTGGATAAACACAGGTATTTCCCTCTTAATTTCTCAAGCTTCAGTGCCTTCATCATCATACACTCTCATTGTGCATGAATGAGATGCTCCCTGAGCCCCGAGATTGGGGATTTTCATTTTACGGGTCACAACCTTCCTGCCATTCCCCACAGCTAAATCAGAAAGGCCTCTGTCTAGTTCCCAAAGTACCTTTTGTATGGAAGAGGATAGTACACAAACAAAAATGCTGAAGGCTCTTGATATAGATGATATTCATAGAAGTGCTCTACACCTTCTCCTTCCTGGAAACCTCTCTTCTCTTGCTCTCCAGCCTACAGGCACCTCATTTCACCACCATCTCCAGCCCTTCATTTCAATTCACCTTTCTACTGGCATGCTGAAAATGCCATCTTACTGTACAGTCACAGCTCTCACAGGAGAAGGAGGAAAGTCTTGACAATAAATTCTGAGCTTGCAGCGATGCGCCAGGACTTTTTTCTTGTCACTATAAGGCACGTGGGCCATAGATGATAGGGCCTCTCTGCCCTGAGTTATAGCAGACAGAGGACAGTCTACAAAGGAGCTAATATCTGTAACGAGGAGTGGTTCTCACCTGTGGGCACTGATATGGAAGGTGGTATTTCAATCTCCAGTCATAAACTCCCTCTTACTGGGAGTCACAGGACTGCCATCAGATGGTCTTAGAGTGACTGCTCTTAGCAGGGAGAGATGTGATCCAGACGCCCCCAAAGCAAGTGGCCATGGGCAGGACATAGGTAGGGAGCAACAGGTCTGACATCACACCACTCACCAGTGCAAATGATCATGGCAGAACAATGGTCTGTGGTGCCTCAGTTGCTGATCAGCATTTTTCCGAAATGAACTGGCTTCTTAACTAAATCACATCCCTCTTGCCTTGTCTACTCTCTTGCCTAGTGAGGATAATTAACTCCAGCACATACATTGTAAGAAAATGTACGAATAAAAAACAGCCATCAAAATGATAAATGATATCCAAGAAGCTCCATACCGTAATTACCTGAATGTAAGCTGTGTGCTTTTCTCCCCAGGGAATTGCTGTTAAAATTTACTTTGCTATATTTCTGAATATCACCTTATATTTCCTGCAGGGATCCAGGAGCTGCTGCCTTGCACAAAGGTGAGGCACTTAATCAGGACAATTTTAATAGTGGCAACGTGCCCCCACGCAAGGTGGCAGCTCTCACAGCGGCTGTGTGTATCAGTCAGCACCAGGGTTTGACGGTCACCTGAGGATGTGGAAAGTGGCTGAGTGGGCTTTGGAGGTGCAGCAGAAGGCAGGGGAGCAGGGCACTGGGACCCCAGAAATGGCAGGGGATGGGCGTCCTGTTTTGGAGTGTGGAAATATTAAAATAGTGAGATGGGAGCCACCAGGTAGGTAGAGTCAAGGCCATGTTATGCCTGCTCTTCCAAAACAGAAAAAATGAGATAAAATGTATAAGCGATTTTGCATCCCAGGTCACTCTATACTCAGGTAAATCCTCTAATCTTATTCAGGCTTTTCTGTGTAATATTCTTTTCTTCTCCCCTCTGTTATCTCTCAGCATCTTTGGTTTAAACTTAGCTCTTAAACAATTTTACTCTTAGCCCACTATTCCGCTCAGTGCTGGAAAAGAAAAATCACGTCTGCAGTGTGACTGAGGAAAGCCTAAACATGCTCTTACAGCACCCAACTGTTCACCATATTCTATTTTTGGTAAGCTGAGGTTTCTGCAGAAAATGTCCATGTGGAGAAGCATTGACATGTGGGTTAGGTAAAGCCGCTTAATGAATTTTTAGGATGGCATTGCTTACCATGTTGTGGCTGCCACCAGCGGAAAGCGGTGGCGGGGGTTTTGGCCTCCCGAGGTAAGTCTATTGAAACAACCTGGGGTTCCAGGTACGACATGAAGTCCAGCTCTCGAAGCAAATGCCAGGTGATCCCGTTGTCATTTGTGTATTGAACAACAAGCCCTATATTTAAAATTAAGAAAGGTAGTTAGTCTGACTGTACAAAGCAAAGCAGGGCAACTCTTCAGGCTATACTCAGGAGCTGCCCTGTGCAGTGCACATGACTTTTGGCATCTCCTCTACCCTGTTGGCATCTCCTGGACCAGGAGCATTTTGTGGTTGAAGTCCTACTGCAAAGATGACATGGGCTCACCAGCTGCCACACATTATCTTGCCTGTCTTCATCAAACTCAAAGGATCAAATCTTTTACAACTTCAGTGAAACTAATGATTGTACCACAGAAATGATAGGAATAATGTGACTTTCTTCATATAGTCAGTATTTATTTCGTGTCAGGTATCCCTGCAGTTTGTGTGGGACATTAAGTTGTAATTCTGATACCTGGGCTCCCAACATGGGTGGTGGATAATGCTTATGAACACCAACTCACAGCGTCTTTAAAAGTTAATTATCCTACTATTTAGATAATTTAAGATAGTCTTCATATCTAACACACAATATGGCAAATACTAGGACATAGCAGAATTGTGAAGTCACTTATGAGTTCATCAAAGGGGATAATGCAAGAAAGACACACTTATGTGTATTTCTTCTCTTAAAACTTTTTTATACTGCAGTATGTTCAAAGATAAAGGATTTTCTTGTGTCTTATACTGGTGCAAATGAGAGGGTATTCAAACCCTCAGTGTAATCTGTGCTGAAAGATGACAGCTGTGAGTCAGGACCAATGAAAATGTTATACATCAAGCAACAGTCCACTGATGTGAAATGATTTATACTGAAAGGAAAATGAAGTTTTCTCATCTACGAGATGCCAGTGGTCTATCTTCATGCAGCTAGACCACTTTACATGGGGAATCTGCTCCTGAAACTCTATTGATCCTTCTGAAACACAAATACCAGCCTCCCACCCCAATAACTCTAAGCATGTGGGTAAAATAACAGAGGAGACAGCTGGGAGAGATTAATTTCTTTAGACTAAATGTATTTTCAGCTGCAGCTTTATAATTTTGCTTTTCAGGTAAATCATGCATAAGCTTGGGTGGGAGACAATCTTTTATTGGACTCCCTGGTGTAGCTGAGAAGCTGAACAAGTTTTCAGGCACACAACACTTCTTCATGTCAGAAATGGAGGTTGCTTACTTTATCCTGAACTTGAATTTTATTCCTTTTATTTCAGACCTCAAGAAAGGCCTGTATACTTGTAACTTTACCTGTTTTTCAACACTGTCAAGTAGTCTGATAAAAGCTATTACACCTCATCTTGTAAATGTTGTCTTTCTTAAACCACCACAGCTCCAACAGTTACTCCTACTGATTGATCACCATTATGTTTGGTGGAAATAAGTATAAATACAAACGTGGAACAAAAGTAAATAGTTGTCTGAACCATTTATGAAAAATGAATTGATTTATCTTAAAAATAAAACAATCTTTTTGATTTTGTAAAGGCAGTAAAAGGTAAAAACCCTTTAGAAGGCTCAAAATACAAAAAGCTTATTATAAAGAAAAGGGGTTTTACCTTCATTCCTGGCTCTTGGTCTGTTGCAGGAGTTACCAACAGCCTTGCTTCCAATTTGTACATAAAATTGAACTAGCCTGTTAAAAAAATCAGGGTAGAAGAGAAGTGTAATTATGTTCTGAAAGCACAAGATCAGTCAGGATAACTCTCCTGTCTTAACTAATATGGCATTTTCAGTTAGCTCATTATTCCAGGCTTATTGATCAGATAACATTCCCGGTGAAATAAAGCATGGCCATAGTAAACAGTGGAGGACCCAAGACAGAAGAAGGTGATGTGGTTTATTGATCCCGTGCCTAATAAATGTATCATTGGACCTAGTAGCAGAATTTAGCAGTTCCTTTTTTCACACAAAGATGCAAAATCTCCCAAGCAGGCAAATCTACTCCTTACATTAGATCTTACCTTGACCTCTTGTAACTGGAAATTGGTTTAAGCTTTAAAACACAATATTAAAGTTTTAATAAAATTATTATATCCTCACTAAACCACCAATCCCTTTTTGGTCCTTAAATTCTTGATGTAAACAGTTTTGCGTGAAAAGTATTCATGGGACATTTTATGAAGTAGACCCTTTGATTTTGAACCTATAGATTTTGATTTTGTTGAATATCCTCTTGTTCTCACATCATGAGATGGGGAAAAAAAATGTTCCTGATCTGCCTTTCTTGCAACCTTCCCTGTAGTCAATGCTTTTATCACTTCCTTACCTTCTCTTATTCCTTTCTACTGTAAACCATGGCAAACTTTTCATGTGTCTCTCTGCATGAAAGATTTTCCATGTCCTTGATTTTTCCTATAACAATTTCCTGCAACCCTTCTAAAGCCACAGCATCCCTTTGAGACAGTGTTGCTGTTTTTATTGACAGAACTTTGGATTAGCCTGGAACATCCCTATTTAGCTACATTTGAACTAATAATTATCCCATCCTTGTGTTCCAAAATATTGTTAATTTTTTTTCCCATTCTGCAGCGCTGCTCCGGTATCCTTGCTGAACTGAAATTTTTAATTGTGACTCTGTGGTGTCAGAATAGTTTACAGGTCCTCTTAGATGTGCACTATTGTGCTATAGAACAGCAATTAATTTCAATTAACGTCCTGCTGCTCACTCACCAAATTTCATTGCATGTCTCTGACATTCATCTGAGTCTTATCTGGTCATAACTAATGTAAAGAGCATTGAGATGACTGAGATGCCATCACCCCCTCATCTATGCCTTCTTCACAGGTTGTCTGCATTGCATACCCGAAACAGTGCCTGAACAGAGCAGGGAACCTGGACTCGTTCCCACGATGAGATTTGCATGCTGAAAGTTGGCGATGCCATTCTCCTTCTTGTTTCCTAGCCAATTTTTGACTTAGGATGATTCCTGACTGTTGTGTTATGACTATTGGAGTGGTCACTGATGTGATGTTTTTGGGAAGCAACTGCTTGTCCCTTGTGCTGGGGTGTCCTCGTGGAGCACATAGGGTGAGGTGGGGTTATTGCCAAACAGGGGTTTTGGGGGAAAAAAGAACACAAATCTGAAGGAAACCAGGCTTCATTAATTCTACTGCTTGTAGATAACTTGTTTATTTTAAATACTAACTTCGAGGTGAATTTGTGTCTCTATGTGAAGAAACAAGGCTTGATTTGTTACTCAAATAATTCCCCACAAGGATAACTCTTTTCGCTTTAGGGGATTTGTTAGTGACATCGGTAAAATCACAGACAGGCCACAGGACTACAGCCAGAGCCAATATAAGGCAAACAGGACTCCAATTTCCCTCACCCACTGCTATAAACACAATGTCATAATCCTCTTCTGATTCTAAACCCAACCACACTCCATTTCTGTTGTCAAAACTGGTATCTCCTATCTGAGATGTTTTGTATATCCATAGGGACTAGGACAAGCCAGAATATAATCAATCTCATCCATAATATAACCCCATAGATAGCTCTAGAACAGACAGGCTCACAGTATTACACTATTTAGCCAGGTAGGTACCATTGTTTGCTGCAGCTCTGTTGTCTGAGACAGTATTCAGGCAATAAAACACTAGACAGCCGTCTCAGAGGTGAAAAGATTTACAGTCCTATGATGAAATTCTCTTTTATGCTTGCCAAATGTAAAGATCGATAAAAAGAAAAACCAAAAGACAAAAAGCCTCCTTTCTGCAGAAGGGTGAATCAGCCCATCTGATGCGTAAGCGTTTGACCCAGAACAGCTCTCTGGGATGGTTGCACAGTCATTAGCAACAGAGTCTGTAGCGCAGACGGGAGCCAAGTCAGCTAACAAGCCAGATGTCACTGCTTGGAAAAAAAAAATTATCTATATTCCATGTTTTTTATCTAGCTGCCAGGTAGGCACTGTGTGCAAATGCTCTCACTGAACAGATAGTGAAG